CACTGGAGCCTGGGGCAAGACAGTGATCGAATACAAAACCACCAAGACCTCCCGCTTGCCCATCATCGATGTGGCCCCCTTGGACGTTGGCGCCCCAGACCAGGAATTCGGCTTAGACCTTGGCCCTGTCTGCTTCCTGTAAACCCCCTCCTCTCCTCTCTGGCTCCCTCCCACCCAACCCACCTTCTCCTGACCCTGGAAACAGACAAACGACCCAAAGTGAACCCCCCCAAAAGCCAAAAAATGGGAGACAATTTCACATGGACTTTGGAAAAAATTTTTTCCCTTTGCATTCATCTCTCCACCTTAGTTTTTATCTTTGACCAAATGAACATGACCAAAAACCAAAAATGCATTCAACCTTACCAAAAAAAGAAAAAAAAAGAATAAATAAATAACTTTTTAAAAAAGGAAACTTGGTCCACTTGCTTGAAGACCCATGTGGGGGTAAGTCCCTTTCTGCCCATTGGGCTTGTAATACCCCAATGCTGCCCTCTCTGCTCCTCTCTCCACCCCTCTCTGGGGCCTCGCCCTCACTGTCCCTATATCTAAGTCTCCCGGAAAGACACAGGAAACAACGCATTGTCTGCCCAGCAACCAAAGGCAATGCTAAAAGACCCAAGAGGCCCCCATATTCCCAGCCCACTCCCCTCACCCACCACCCCAAGTCCTGCCGGGACCTGGGGTTCTCAGACTGCCAACGAAGCCTTGCCATCTGGCATCCCCATGGCCCCCTGCAACATGCCCATCTTCATTTTTGAGGGGGGCACGCCAAGGGCCACCCACTGGCCCCTCACCAGCCAGCTGGGTTTGGAGGAGTCAGGAGGGGCCGCGACAGAGGAGACATCGGACTCGGGACCTGCGTCCCTCGGTCGGACTGGGCGGGGCTGACGCTGCTCTGTTGCGTTTGTAATTGTGTTGCTGAAAGACTACCTCGTTCTTGTCTTTATGTCACCGGGGCAACTGTGTGGGGGCGGGGAGGGGGCAAGGGGGCGGGGCTCCCCATTTTATATCAAAGGTGCTACATCTCTGTGATGGGGCGGGTGGGAGGGAATTACTGGTGCTATGGAAGTCGAGACGCCCCCAGGCCAGCAAATGTTCCTTTTTGTTCAAAGTCTTTTTATTCTTTGTTTTTTTCTTGTGGATGGGGACTCATGTGAATTTTCTAAAGGTGCTATTTAACCCGGGGTGGGGGGAGAGAGAGTACCAGCTCCAGACAGCGCCTCACTTTCTGCCCTCCCCCCTCCACACCTCAGCCTTTGCCTTCTCAGGCCAACTCCCCCACTCTCCCTCCTCAGAACCTCCCCCCAGCTGCTCCATCCTCATCACCTCCATCTTAGTCTGTCCTGCCTCTCTCTCTCTCTCTCTCTCTCACCAGGTTTCCCAGTACAACTTCCCAAAGCACAAAGCAGTTTTTTCCCTCAGGGTGGGAGGAAGCAAGAGACTCTGTACCTATTTTGTATGTGTATAATAATTTGAGATGTTTTTAATTATTTTGATTGCTGGAATAAAGCATGTGGAAATGACCCAAACTCATCTGCAGTGGCCTCCTGATTTCCTTCCTGGAGTAGAGGGAGGGAGAGCTGGGGAGGGTGCTTTGGGGTGGGTGGTGGGTGTCTCCTTCTTCCTTGCCACCTTCCATAGCACCCCGACACCCCCACAGTCCCTCCTTCCCCTGCCTTTTTTTTTTGAAGACTTATTATATTTATGCGTACAAAAGCTAGGGTGTTGGCCAGAGGTGTGGAGGGTGAGAGGATTCACCAGAGACAGAGTGGGGAGCACAGCAGGCAGATGGACTGAAACACACTGCTGAGGGGAGCAGCGGGGATCGAACTCATGCTGAGTGGCTGGCAGTAGCTCATTGGCGCTGTCTTTAGCCCCTGCGCCGCCAGGGAGGCCCCTCCTCTGCCTCTCCTTTTCTTTCCTCTTACTTTTCTCTCTCTTGCAGCCCCACTTGCTTGTCTCCCGTGCCCTGTGATGTGGTAGAGAACCCAGACTTCCAGCAACACATGCACCCAGGCACCCGAGTGCACAGCTCCCTCCAGATGCTGGGCTGCCCAACCTCAAGCCCACTCTCAAGTCTGCACCATGAGCTCTCACTGCCCTCACTACCGCTGTGGGCACCAGCAGGGCACAGTGGGGGTTAGGGGCCCTGGGAGGCCCAGCCCAGTGAGGGCGGGGGCACTGGTGAGGAGCCACCGGCCTCTCCTGGGCAGGCCCACGTGTGGTCTGGCCACTCCGAGCTCCACAGTACAGCGGTACACTGGGCCTTCCCTGGAGGCCTGAGAGGAGTCCAGGGAGAGGCTCTGCTCAGTCTCTGGGCTCCCAGGAGAGGTGGTTCCCCAGGGGCCTGGGCAGTTAGGTGTCCATCAGGAAGACTGGGGGGCCCTGTCCCTACTGAGAAGCTACGGGGTCTCTGGGGCCTTCTAAGTACCTGGAACTTGAGACCCCTGTGTGTGGGTGACCTGCAGAGGTCATTTTACCCCGCCCCTGCCTCCTGCCAGTCCTTATCCCTAAAAAAATCTGCAACCTCTTCCTCCTCCCTTCCCTCTCCTCTCACTTTCCCACGGCTGCTCGCCCACCTGAAGCCCCCAGAGGCAGCCCCCCAGTGTCAGAGAAGGGGAACAGTGGTGTATGGTCTATGGAGACACGGGACCTGAAGAGCCAGAGCCTGGAGTGGACCAGGTATCAGAGGCCCAGAGACAGGCGAGGTTGGCCGCTGCCTCCCACCACCTCGGCGAAATCTCCAGAGCAGACACCTGGGCTGCCAGGGACTTCAGAGAGAGGGACAGGCTGCCAGCATCGTCTCCGGCGCTACCCCCCAGCTGGCCTTAGACGATTCTGGCCATCAACTGGGGTCTTTAACAATTCACCAGCAATCCTACTACTCAGAACAGTGTGCAAAGGGAATTAATCTAGAGAGAGTGATGGAAGAGTTATTCATAAGCAGATCACCCCAAGTCAGGTGACGGGGGGGGGGGGCCAGGAGAGCCCCTGAATGGTGGGTGATGCCGGCCTGACACACCGCCTCAGTTGCTCCCAGGGTTGGCTGCAGATGTGCTTGCTGTGGGTGTCCCAGTCCCACCTCCGCTTGCACTCAGGGACCATCCAGAAGCATCTTGAGCCTGCAACGGAGGCTCAGCCTGTCTGGCCACATGCACCTGCCCACTCTCACTGCCCCTCCCCGGGACAGGGTGACTGCATTTCCTGCAGAAGCTCCGTGCGCCCCCACTTGCAAGCCTTTCTGCCTCTTGCTGTGGCTGGAGTCCCCCCGACCCGCCCCCACCCAGGCCAAATGTCTCGCAGGGTCCCTCATTCTTCAGCCCAACTGCAGTGCAGTTTCCAAAGCTCTCCAGCATTACAAAATTCATCTCAGCCCGGAATCCCGGCCACTGTTGCTATTATTTGCTACTGTGAACAGGAACAAGTGTGAGAGGAAGCACAAGTGGAGGCAGCTGGGTAGGGGCTGCGGGCGCCGAGGGCTGGAGGCCATAAGGCCCCGGCCCCCCACCCCCACCCCCAACAAGTGGCCCCACTATCAGCAGCGCAGGTTGTAATTGCATCTAATTGCAGTGAATTTTACCAGCCACAGGTGGCCCGTGGCTGAGCGAGCGGCAGGCAGAGGCGTGTCTGCTCCTCGCCGCAGGCACACAGTTCCACAGGTGGGTGCGTGGGTGCACGTGGGAGGCACCGAGGGGACGCGCGCGGGCTGTGGGTGGCAGGCCTGGCATGCCCGTGCCCCGGGGCAGCTCTGTGCCCACATCACGTGGTGGGCCTGGCCTGCATCTTCAGCATGTGTGCTGCCCTGCGGTGGGGGACAAAGGGGCCATTCACTGTTCCACGGCCCCCGCTCATGCCCGCCCTTCTGCTGACATCACCACTGCCCTATAAACGGGGCCGGCCTGCGCCCCTCACCCACTGCCACCCCGTGGTACACCAGGGCCTGCCTGCCGCCTGGACGGCTCCTCTGGGCTCACCTTCGTCCTCTCAGAGCTGCTTGACCACGCGCCTGTGAGTGATTTTCCAACCACTCCAGACAGAAAACTCTAGAGAGAAAGGAGGCTTTTTGGATCTTTTATCTGTGTTGCTCTCAGAATCTTGGGTTGCTTTTGTGGGTTGAGTCCATCTCCTGGCAGGATTTTCCATGATCAAAATACAAAGGATTTTTCCTCCTTTTCCCCCAGCTCCTTAACTATCAACTTTCCAGATGCTTCCAAGGCCTTCCCAGACGGAGCAGGGTGAGACTGGTAGAGGGGCGGAGCGGGGCTTGTGGCTGCTGCGTGGGGCCTGGGGGCAGGCCATGCGGGCTGCAGGGGCTGCTGCAAAGCTGGGGCCCGCAGAGGGGCTGCCAGTGGCCACACGTGCAGGCCGAGTGAGCGAGCTGGCCCTGCCAGGGGAAGTGTGCCCACCCTCTCCTGCCGACATGGGGCCCTGAACATGTGGGGGCTGGGGGTGCGGGGGGAGGGCAGCTTCCTTGCACAGAGAGAGGCAAAGCCGTGGCACTTGGGATGGTAGGAAGATGGGGAGGCCGGGGCATGGGAACATGTTGGGGGGACGCTGGCTATTTGCTGTGCTGGGCTGGGCATCTCTGCAGGAGGGTCCCCTCCTCAGTGAATAGCAAGGTGCTGATGTGTCTGTGCCCCCAGTGAGGGGGGGGCTGGGTGGGCGTGTGTGCCCTGGCACTGCTCCATGTCCTCAGTCACGCCATGTTCTGAGCTACTTGTCTGGGCCACTTCCTTCCAGGCGCTCCCGTGTGCCTCTGGGCCTGAGCCCGGAGGACTGTGCTGCCAAGATCCCAAGCAAGGCTGGGAAGCACAGGGAAGTGAGGCGCTGGCCTGCAGCTCTCCCCCTGGAAGCCAGGACTGGAGGGGCAGGGAGACAGTGACCGGCAGCACGGAGATCGGGGTGGGGGCTGGGAAGCTTAGAGTGGAGGCTGTGAGGGGGAGGGATTCAGAATGCATTTTGAAGGGGGGATTCTGGGGAGTGAGGACAGAGGAGGGGGGGCCTGCTGCAGGGCAATCTGGGGCTCTGGGGACTCCCTTGCCTCTGCATTTCCAAGCGCTGGGATCCAGCCAGGGCCTCAGCCTTTCAGCCTGCAGCCTGGCTCCTTCTACCCTCCCCCCAGCCGAGGCCAGGGAAGCCCCCACCTGCACCTCCGGCGCTCCCCACAGGGATGATGAGAGTCTGCTCCAGCACAGCAGATGGTCCCAGAGCTGGTGCGTGAGCTCAAAAGGGCACTTGGAGCCCATGTTGGCAGCGGCCTTGACCTTGCTCTCCTGGCCTCGCTCTTGGAGAGGACAGCTGGGCTCGGGGCCTCGGCCACATTCTGGCTCCCCTGCTACTCCACCGGTCTGGGTCTCCTCTGGGTCTTCATCTCTGGCCTCTCCTCCCAGGGTGCATCAGGTGGGAGACCAGCTGTGGCCAGGGATGGCCCTGGGCAGCGAGCGCAGAGCTGGCCTGCTTGGGGTAGCCCTCTGGGGAAGACATGCCTCCAGGGCTCCCGGGAACAAGGCTAGACACTCAGCTGAAAAAGGTCTCAGGCTAAGCTGTGTCCTCTGCCCTCAGGCCTGTCCCCAGAGCAGCCCTAGGGAGAGGCCATGAAGGCGCGGTTGACAGGGCTTTGTCCCACTCCCTGGCTAGAACGGCTTATCTCCCGCCAGGGGTTGGGGATCTCCTGCTCCCAGAACCTCTCAGCCCTCCAGAAAGCAGTGTGGAGGCAGATATGCTAGGATCAAATCCAAGCTCTGTGCTGCTGGGCAAATCACTTCCTCTCCTAGGCTCCTGTCTATAAAAGGGGGCTAGTGACCCAGGGGCCCCTCACTGTTGGGCTCACATAGAACTGTAGAACTAAGACCCAGCTGTGAACCACTGCACCTCCAGAGCACCCAAGGGCCCAGCAACATGTGACCGCAGTGCCGGCTGACTCTGGGGGCTCAGAAGCAGAAAGGGAAACTGAGGCAATGAGGGTCATTGGGGGGACAGCGGGCAACAGAGAGGAGCACCTGGTTACTGGTAGCTGAGTGGGGTTGCAGGCATTTATTCTGGGCCCCCTGACCCCAGACCCCCTCACCGCACTCCCCACTGCTTCCACGCCTGGGTCGCTCAGGTCAGGAGCAGCCTCGGACCAGGCAGGTGCCGTGAGTAAGGAGGGAAGGAAGACGGGGCCAGGGCTGGAGCTGAGCAGCAGAGGGAAGAGAGCGTGAGGCCCGCTGTGAGGACCAGCCCAGGCCTCCTGCCTTTCCCAGCCTCACCTCTGACCCAGCGTTTGGCTCGAGCCTGGGCACTGTCCCCCTGCTGCCCCAGAGGGTACTCCGTTCCCTTCCCTGAGCTCCTCACCCCCCAACACCTGCCCCGGCCTTGGGACAGAGGCCACTTCACACCCAGAAGTGAGGCCGCTCCGCCCTGCTGGACCCACCTGGGGAGGCCCTCAGTGCTGGTCCAGGATGAGGGGCACTTGTGCGATATCCACGTGGGGGGGCAGCCGCTCGCCTGTGCGCACGTTGAACATGGGCAGGGTGGACAGTGGCCGGGGGACTTCTCGGCTGGCCGCCATGTGCCGCAGCTCCTCCGTGTTCCCTCGGATGGTGCAGTGGTGGACCATCTGGATGCTGGACACAGAGCCGGCCAGGGGTCAGCTCTGGGGTCAGCCCCTGCCCAGGGCCCAGCCTGGCCCTCCCTCTAAACCACCCGCAGGCTTCCTCCTGTAGGTGGGGGAAACTCACATGCGTGGGGGTGAGGCAGTGACAAACAGGGATTCCTGTGGTGTCACCCAGCGACCAGTGGTTGAGACATGGGCTCTGGGTGCAGCCAGGCCGATTCAAGGCCACGTGTCCCTCACCAGGTGCTTAACCATTCTGAGCCTGCGTTTCTTTTTTTTTTTTTTCATAGTTTTTTAAAATTTTATAATAGTTTATTTTTACATATTTTTGTGCATTTTTCCATCTCTGTTGTAATCCCCATGGGCTTCCCATCACCAAATCACCCATGTGCCATCAGCATAGTCCAGTACACTTCTCTCCCCCTACTGTTTTTGACCCCATTTCCCACTCCACCCCCATAAAATGTCTCTGGTATATGGCTGCTCATCATTATCACTATTTTCTCGCCTGTTCTGTTATATTCCTGCTATGAGAGAAAACATCTGGTATTTTTCCTTTTCTTTCTGGCTTATTTTACTAAGCATGATCTTCTCCAGCTCCATCCATGTTGCTGCAAAAGGCATGTGTGTGTGTGGTTTTTTTTTTTTTTTGGTTGCTGAGTAATATTCCATTGTGTATCTGTACCACATCTTTTTAATCCAGTCATCCACTTTTGGGCATTTGGGCTGTTTCCATGTCTTTCCAATTGTAAATAAAGCAGCAGTAAACATGCGGATGCAGGTGTCTTTTTGAATCAGTGTTTTTGTGTCTTTTGGGTAGATGCCTAGGAGTGGGATTGCTGGGTCGTAGGGAAGCTCCACGTTTAGAGCCTGCGTTTCTCTAACCATGAATATTAAATAATAAAACCTATCTCCTAGTCCCCCTGGGATCATTGTAAATGCAGGCTGTTTAAGAAGAACTCCTGAGGCAGAGATGCGAGCAGGTGCGGGAGGGGCTATCTCCGGGCCAGGCATTGCGGGGCTGTGCCTGCTGCGCACAGGTGCTGACCAGCTGCTAGGCCCCAGGAGCGCGCAGCTCTCTCGCCTGGTAGTTTCTCCACCCAACAGGTGACCCTCCTCTTCCTCCCACCTCTCTTCTGAAAAACCCACTCCCTCCACATTTTCCCGCCTCCTAGCTTTGGCCCAAGCTGTGCCCCTTCCAGGAATCCCCTCCCCACGCACATCCTGCCAGGCCTTGAGGGCTCATCCTGCCACTCATCAGACCTGGCCTCTCGTCCTTTGTACCTTACCCCCTAGCCCCCCTCCTCAGCCCGGCCCGCCTCTAGCATTGAGAAGCTCCAGACAAGGAGTCTTGTCTGTCTTCATTTCAGAACCAGGCTCTCCAGAGCTGGTACTGGGCTCCACCCTCCACAGGCTGGAAACCCAACAGCTCTGAAAAGAACGGATCACCACAGCCATCCAGACCTCTAGCTCGTTTCCCCTCTGAAGATTCAGCCTGTTCTCATTTGACATTCTCATGTGCTTGCTTCCTGCTGTCAGGGTAAACTAACTCTTTTCGAGAAATCAGAGTTACATGAGGCCTTACTTCAGGTTTGAACTTAAGTTCCACTGCTTAGTGCTGTGTGACCTTGTGCAAGTTACTTAACTTCTCTGTGCTGCTTTTTCCTCTGCGGGAAAGCAGAAAGCGTTAAAACACTTGGCCTGGCTTCTCACCAGCATGCAGCAAGCCGGAGCTACTGGTGTCCTTGGTGTTACTGCTTTAGGTCCCCTAATCAGCTGGTCTCCAGTAGAGGGAGGGACCCCAGGCCCCTTTACACAAGCCCACATTCGTGGGCCAGCCCAGAGACAGTTTCCTAGACTACCTGACTGCCGGTCAGACAGAGGCAGGGACTCTGGTTTTCCCAGCAGGGCTGGATCCAGGGAGGGAGGGAGGGAGAGTGAGTGGCCTCACCCCTACCTCAGTCAGTGACCAGACTCCAGCTGGAGCC